AAACACCTAAGACAAAGCAGCTTCCCTCCCTCCCCCCCAAAGTATGGCGCAAATACAAGAGTTGTCACAACAGGCAAATATGCTTGCAACCAGGGATAACCCTAACAAGACTCGCCAAAGAGCGTCCTTCGCATGTTATGCGTGTAGAGAACGACGAACAAGGTGTTTTATGCCGGCCGGCGAAAGCAAATGTACGCAGTGTCGTGACAATGGTCAAGAATGCATCGTGAGGCATGACGACGATAGGAGGAAGCCCAGCTCGAAAGCTTATGTGCAGTCCTTGAATGAGCGGATCCTTCATCTCGAAGCACTGCTCGAGGTAAAGGACAAGGAACACTCAGTTTCCGCTCCATCTCCACCAAAGACTGCGGCGAGAACCCCACTGCAGTCTGGCTCAGAAGGTTCTGTCGCGATGCAACAACTTCCTCGTATTGATCAGGATACTGTGCCGGAGCACCACTCGCCTGCACCAGTTCAGACAGTCGAGCACCCCAGTCCGGCACGTAGTTCCGTGTCAACCACCTCTGCAGGAGGGAGCATGGTGTACAAAGTCTTGTCGGCAAAACGCCATCTTGACTTTGACCGACTCAGTGGACGTATCAGATACTACGGGCCTACAACGAACATTCACGTGTTTTCGGAACTCGCGACGGAGCATGAAGAATACAGCAGGCAGTCGATGGAGCAGCAGAGACGAGTGAGCCGGCTATTGTCAACTGTAAGCCAGCAGACGCAGGATTACTTGTTGGAAATGTTCTGGCAGTACTACAACTCCGTCATTCACGTGGTTCATCGAGCCAGCTTTGAAGAGGGCATGCGGACAGGCCAAAGCCAAAACTACTCGCCATTCTTACATGTCTGTGTGCTCGCTATGGGGTTTCGTCATGCGGACAAGCGACGGCGAGATATCAAACGAATTACCTTCCATGGACGAGAAAGCATTCTGCATAGAGAGGCGAAGTTTATGCTAGACTACGAACTCGAACGCCCCGGCGGCGTCGCAACGGTACAGGCGTTGCTCCTGCTAAGTGATCTTGAGTGTGGTGTTGGGAGAGACAACATGGGATGGCTGATTTCTGGGACGGCAATCAGGCTTTGCTTTGATGTCGGCTTACACTTGGACACCAGTAGTTTCGGCCTGAGTCAAGTCGAAGCCGAGATCAGGCGCATGACTTTCTGGGCTTGTGTGATCTATGATAGGTATTGGGCTCTTTTCTTGGGCAGGCCGACTGCCATGAAGCCGGAAGATCTAGAGATCTATCGACTGGCTGACCAGTTTGGACGTCTCGGGACACTCGAACCCGCTGGCCCAAGTATGAGTCTCGAAAAGCAGATTTACGAGGCACTCCTCGATCTCATGGAGCTTGCTGGTGAGATTAACAAAGTCGTCGACGATGCGTCCAAGCCTGGTACACGCTTGGACCAGCAAGTCTACTTCCACATGGCGGCGTTGGACCGAAGGCTACAGTCTTGGTATAGCAGATTGCATAGCCCGCTCCGCTGGTCGACCGATGCCAATAACACAACCCATCCACCTCCGTGTTCGTATTTCCTGCTACATCAGCAGTATCATGCGGCATTGATCCTTCTTCATCGCCAATTCGCTCAGTACGACAACATTGTGTCCGGAACACCAGGCGACGAAGCCGAAGAAAACCAGAAAACACATCTGAACGGACACCTCGCCGCGTTGTCAAGAGACGTGTGTACGGCATCTGCAGGAAAAATTGCCCAGATATTCTGGCAGAGTAAGCAGTACTACGCCAGCAGTAAAATCTTCATAACAGGTCTCCAGCATGCAGGGACAGCGGCTCTCGCACTTGTAGCTGCCATTGCTTCATCAAAAGACACCGTCACGTACGACACGAATCGAAAGTATCTAGAAGTATTGGCCGCGGCGATCGAAGACATGTGCGAAACGTATCAGCCCGCGGAGAGAATGTCGACGGTGCTGAAGGAAGTACTAAACGAGCTCATTGCAATGCAACCTTTGGGTTTTCCGGCGGCGAAGCCGTCTCTGAGGAGAGACAGCGAAGGAGACTCCCATACCTCGGGACAAGCCAAAAGGCATCAAGTCCAAAGTTCTGGAAGGCGTGGATTGGACTCGTCATTGGCGATCCATCAGGCACAGGCTCAAGCTCACCGGCAACAGAACCAGACTGGCTCAAAGAGAGTTTATCAAGAGAACAATGACCTGTTGCTGGTCCAGGATACGGATTGGCAGGGACGAGCCACTGAAGGCTTTCGGCCTCAGCATGGAGATGCCCCTGTCGGTCAGCAAGATGCAGACCTCCGTAACTGCTGGTCCGGAAACCACGGCGCCAGCCCCTTTGTTGAGTCTTACTCTCCGCTGCCGGCCGAATTCCAACCCTGTGGCTTTTTAGCTCAGTCCTCCTCGACTTGGATGGGAGCCGAGACCTCATCCTTCTCGCCCTTTGCAGCCGATGTCGGGTCATTGGATCCAAACCAGATGTTGCAAAGGAATGACCAAGCAGCCCATACAGACAGCACTACAATCCCCCTTGGAACCTTGTGTTTTATGACTCTGCTGCCCAACAGCACGGGGACGGACAGCTCTCGCACTGATATAGACAATAATCTGTCGAGCCGCCATTCGACTCACGATGCAGCCATTGGGCCTAGCAGCGTCGGTACAGGCTGGTCTTCATCGTTGCCGCCAGGAGCCACCAGGAGTCAACCGACGGATCTCCCAAATCAGATGCGGCCACCAAATTTGTCACGTACTTCCTTTACCGGGCCTGCCAGTGAAGATTTCGGTATCCAAAATCCCGGAGAAGGTCTTGGAAATGGTTTTAGAAAGTAACATCATCCACGAGGTGGCATTATTAGCACTACGAAGGCCTGAGGAATTGAGCGAGGTTGGCACGCGAGTGCGAGCAATGTAGCATTGATACATAATTCCCTTGGTACGATAACAGGGCCTCCTTACTGGATCGCATCTGGGATCCCAGAATCTTCTCCGTGCATGTTCTTGAATAGGGGGTCCCAAACGGTACACGCACGTTTCGTTACTCGTCCATTGAGCAACGGAGGTTCTTCCAGTAGTAGTATTTTGTCCACGGAGCACTCTACCACCTGACCGGTGCGCGAGGTGTCGCTCAAGAACTCGTTGTATGCACGGACAATAGTCGCAGCTGGCGTCAAGCTAGGGTGGGGATTAGCCAGACAGTTTCTTGTACAATCGTCCATGAATGGGTTTCCGTTGACTTACCACTCGGGGCTCACAGCGTCGACCATAGCTTGCGGTATGATAGAGGTATGGACTATCCCTGGAAGCACAACATTGATGGAGATGTTCTCCTTCTATTTAACCATACAAGGGTGGTAAGCCGAGACTTGAAAATAAAAGGTGAGGGACTTTGGACTGGGCATTTGATACTCACCACTTTGATCACAGGTGCGACAGTGCGACAGAATTGCAGGACCTACAAGACAATTGAATCAATGTTACAAACTCACTTGGCAACGAGGTATCTTGAGGATTGGGTTTGAACATACTGCAGCTTTTGCTCCGCAATATTCGGGATAACTGCTATGCGGATGTACCGCTGCGATACTCGCCGTTGCCACGATGGTGCCACCTGGCGTAGGGTTCTGTCGCATGAAATGAATCGCAAGTTGTGTTCCATAGACAACGCCGAGATAGTCGACGGTGGTGGTTGCGACGTCAGGAGCCGGAGGAATCTCCTTGCTGCCTCGATGCATGAGAATATAAATTGAGCTGCGGTCGACTATTCCAGCATTCGCCAGGAGAGCATCGAGTCGACCCCATTGCTCGAATACGGTGGCAAACGCTCTGGCTTGATCATCGTAGTCGCCGACGTTGCATTTTACAAAGATTGCTCGGTCGCCATGCTCATTTGCTAGCTTCTGACCGGCCTGCTCGTTCAGATCAAGACAGCCGACTTTCCAGCCTTTACTGAGCAAGTCCCGAGAGAGATCGGCACCCATGCCGGACTATTCGAATGTATAAGCATTGTATTGGCTTCAAGGGTTTGGGATTCAGCTTCGTAGGTCAGGATGGCTTGAACTTACTGCAGCGCCCGTCACGATGGCCACCTTACCATTTCCCGAGGCTGGTCCAGTGCTACCCATGTTGTTGGCGATGGTATTACTCTCGTGACTCGTACTGGGTTCGCACGTTTGCAGACTGATTTTAATGAGAGGAACAAGTTGACAAACTGGTAGGAGTAAGCAGGGTATTCGGTATCGATGCTAACACAGCACTCTAGGTGTATCGATTTGTTAGTCCTTGTACTCTGCTATGGCCATGAATGACTGGCCGATCTTGTTGAATGCCCCCACAACATGGTCTCTGTGAGAGACACTCTTGATCCCGTCTTCCGCAATATCACACGGGTGTGCTCCAAGTCAGAAAAAGTACGAGGCGGAACTTGGAGTCATGGGGTCAGCAAGAGCCGCGGATGCAGCTGGCTACACACAGGCAAGTGGGGCACTTTGACCGGATAACGCTGCGGGGTGAGAGCGCGACAGATAGAGTGCAGCATCATGGCGGGGTGGCCCGGTGCCCTGCGAGTTGGAGGACCGGTATTCAGTCTGGCATTCGAGACTGGGGCATTCTGCTTATGATAGAGTGGGTCTGTCATTCAGCTACCCTCTTGATTGTCGAGAATGTAGACGATACCATAGCTATCTACTATGTAACGTGTAGTTGGCAATACTGGACACGGACTAGCACAAAAGGCCCTGCATATAGATGACTAACAAGCCCAACCATCAGACATGGATGAGCTCTCGAGTGGATATTGCATCGGTGCCACAGAGTTGGCTTCTTCAGGCGATATAAGACAGCCTCGCAGTTCTCTTAGATCATTAACAGAGTCAGCTCCAGCACGCCAACCATACGGAACTCCAATCCTTATCGCCACCCGACTTGTTCTTGTTCTAGTGCGCTTAAGTGCCGGCTACTCGCGGAATCGATCATCGCAGGCAGAGATCAAGGAGGGATCAAAGCGAATATGCCGTTCGTTCTATTCGCAAATGTCAACTTTGTTCCTGGCAGATATGACGATGTGAGAGAACTTTACTGAAATTCTGATATACACTGATATCGTTTTAGTGGCAGGCAGCATACGACAAGCTGGGGGCGTACGTGTGGGAAAAGGAGCCCACAACATTGACCTATTACTTTGGGGTACCTTTGCAATATTGGACGCACAAGTCTGATACGACACACATGTTTGCCTTCGAGGTCTATGGAGAGCGCCACGACCTCTACACGACCCATTTCAGTTCGCCCGCGATGCAAGATTTCCTGGCTGCGATTCCGGAGACAATGACCACCGGTCTTGACTTGAAGCATTATGAGGATGTCGGTGGCTTTCTGGATCGATTTGGTGATAAGCGCGAGTGTGAGCTCATGACCGATGTCCGTATCACTTGTCATGAAAATTCCAGGGACAAGGTACTGTCTAAACTCGTGACGCTTGTCAATGGAATGAAGGACTCAGGGTCAGCAGAGGTCTACACACTGCTCGTTCTCAAAAGCCTAGACGACAATACTGGTGTGCGCTTCTATCAAAGGTTCAAATCGTGGCAAGCATCTACTACGTTCGCCCGAAATGAGCTAGTCCTTGACTTCTGGATGACCTCAAAAGAAGACATTGCCAGCATGGAGTCACAAAGCTACATCCCTAACGGCAAGGGCTGGCTGCACCGCGAGGACTGAAAAGCACTTCACTCGGCCGGTATTTTCTACGATAATGCTTGTCACCACATACAGTTCCTGGAAAAAGCTGAAGCTACTCTCCGGAAGAGCCTCGTTCTCCAACACGCTGAGAGAGTCAAATGTCAGGAAGAGTTAATGGCAAACTCCCCGCAGGATACTCGGCTGTGGGAAACCAGTAACCTTTGCTCAAGCAGCCCAGTCCGTGGGATCTCTATATGACAAACAATTTAGCTAATGTGCATGTAGAGTCAATCATTTCACCCTCGTTAGAACTTTTCTCTGAAGATAGTCCACGCCGTGAGCGGCTAGCACAGGCATGGGACCTCTCATCCTCTCTCGTGTGGAGTAATTGTCCTTCCTCCTGGACACCCGAGCAGGCTAGCTTTGATGGTTCCCCGGAAAACGTCTCCCAGACTTTGAGACTTTCTCCACATTTGTACCAGGAGCTGGCGACTACTCGGACGCTCACGATGGGCCTTACAGTTTCTCCACGTGGGGAATTTGCCAAGTCAAAAAGACCATAGGGAAAATGCAGGCTGATAGCAAGCAAAGCTTGGAGGGCTCAAACCCAGATTGAGGTAGATTGTTTGGTTACATATATCAGCGACACTACGCCACTGGCACAACGCTGTGAGTGTCACAACAACTTTCACGCTTTCGTTGGCCTCGCTAACATAATGTCTGCCTTGGAAGAAGAGAAGGGTGTTCACCTAGTCAACGAGTCCATTGGTGACTCTTCAAGCCCCGACATACCTGCTGTGATACCCCAAGATGATGCGCATGTCACGGTCAAAGTGTGGACGGTCGTGATGATTGTGAGTTGGCCTTTGAGGATCGTGCAAGTGTAACGCGCCCGGGATTAACAAAAAGCATAGATGAGCTGGGGTTATGGCCTGTCCTTTATCCCAGTTCCTTTCTTCGCTGCTGTCGGAGGCGAGGTTGCTGCCTCGATGGGTAAAGCGGGCGACAGCGCTTGGTTTATTCCTGCTTGGATCATCTCCATCACTACGGCTTTTATGATCGCTGGAGCCAACACCGACATGCTAGGCAGGCGATGGTTCCTAATCGTTGGGCAAGTCGTCTGCTTTGCTGGTCATTTGGTGACTGGTCTTGCGAAGAGCAATCCACAGATCATAGCTGGCATGACCATCGAAGGTTTTGGTGCCGCTCTCTGTCAAATGGCAGCCTTCGCACTTCCAGAACTGCTTCCGAACAAGTGGAGGGCAATTGGAGTCGTCATGGCCGATGCGGTATGTTTGATAGAAGGCGTTGATGCCCCAGAATGATCACTAACAGACTATACAGGCTGTCTACTTGACCATCACCATCATTCCGGTGACAGCTCGATATGGTTGGTTCGCAGGCGATTGGCGAGCAAACTTCTACGCGGCTGCAGCCCTTCAAGCACTGTCTGCTGCCGGCCTCTTCTTCTTCTACTATCCCCCGGCTCATCCTCTGGGCATCTCTTTCCGCACTGCTTTCCGACAGCTCGATTATCTCGGCATGTTTCTCTTCGTGGCCGGAGCTGTACCAGTAATGGTTGGCATCGTCTATACGGCCTCCATTCCCGCTAGCGATCCACGCGTTATTGGCACACTCGTTGCCGGATTTGTCATGCTCGTTCTCTTTGCCCTCTGGGAAAGTTTTGGCAATGCAAAGCACCCTCTCACTCCTCCTGCCATCTTCAGGAAAGGCTACGGAAGAGACTTCACAGCGCCGTGCATCGCTCTGGCCATCATCAACATGTTCTACTACAGTTCGTCCATCATCTGGCCTACGATGATCAACGCATTCTACACAGCCGGTGGTCTACCATGGCAACGTGCAGCTGTCCTTTCACTTCCTCAGGGCCTAGCCATCACAGGCGGTGCCATGGGCCTGAGTTTCCTGGGACCCAAGATCAAACGCTATCATTGGCAGCAAACTCTTTCCGTCACTGTTATGGTGGTTTTTGGATCGTTGCTGACTTTGGCAACCCCGAAAAATCTTGGTCTGATGTGCGCATTTGTCGTTCTATCATTGTTCGGATATGGCTGGGCTATCTACCTCTCTATCGCCTTCACACAGCTCGGAGTTGACCAGGAAAATCTCGGAATCTCAGGTGGTCTCAGCGGCTGCGTGCGTTTTGCTGGTGGAACAGTTGCTCAGGCTGTATACTTGACTGTTCTGCAAAACGACCTGGCCAAGAAGACACCTGCGTACGTGATGGCTGCAGCTGAGGCAGCGGGTGTACCCGCATCAAAGATAGCAGAGTTGCTCAGTCTCCTCGCGACTCCCGTCAATCTGGCAGAAGAGTTCGGGGCTGCTGTCGCCGGAGCCGTGGGAGTCGCACAACAGCATGCAGTTGCGCATGGCATCAAGATGGTGGCTTTTACCAGCTTGGGATTTGGGTGCGTGGGCATAATTGCTTGCCTATGCTGTAGGAACATTGACGATCGCATGGACAATACCATTGAGGTCTTCCTCGAGAACGACGAGTTTGCGGACAGGAACAAGTTTCACTAGACGGGGTAATATAAACTACGTAGGATATACTGGTGGCTAGCAGGGCAAGGGCATAATAGGTGATGAGGCCTTGATAGTATATACATTCTTGTCTCTATTTTGCAACCTCATGTGTGATATCATGGCATTGTAAGACGCCATGCCTGTAATGAATCTCTTCACACAAGGACTGGGTATCGTTCGTTGACCAGATGTGTTTGCGATTGGATACCAATTGTTATCACGATCGTCCAGTCTACTGGATATCCCTGTGCGCACTTAAGCCGGAATTTCTCTGAGACAGACAGTTCAAGAGGACTTTGCAGAGCTTTGACCCCTTGTATGTTCTCCCTTGTATTCAAACTATTGGGCTTGGAAGTCTCTCAATGCTCTATATAGACCGCAGCGTCTCCACTCTCTCGCGAGCTGAGATCCTTCTCCGATATCTTCTTTTAAGCATAAGAGCCTTCCATCTAGACCGTCTCACAGCAACTGGCCTTATCATTTCAAGGTATTCTGCTGAAATACTCAAGGCAAAACATGGTTCATGAAAAGCCAGATCATGACTTCACGCATGACCAGTTTCGCTATGATGCAGAACCAAACCATCAGCTTGCGTTCTAAGGGCAAGACTGATATCAAGCATATAGCAACATACTGATCGACCCAGCATACATTAGGATTTTGATCCTCTTCAAGAAACTCGACCATGTCAGCGATGGATTCTCCCACCGCCATTGGGAAACCACGCATGCCGATCTAGCTGGAGGATCTCCAAAGTGGAAACTATGTAAAGGACAGAGATATACGCAGATACACCAGACCAGGGCTTCAAAGCGAAGTAGGGGCTTCTGGAGCTACAGTCTTGGACTTCAATGGCTGCTCGGAGGTTTGTGTGAAGGGCTGGGAAGATTGGCTTAACTTTCGAAGTGAAAGCCCTCAATGGAGGTCTTCCCTAGGCAAGCATACACCTGACGGTGCTACAGAGCGATGACTACAAAAATATCATGGACAAATATCATAATAACTTCTTGGAGGAACCCATCTGTGTACTTGTTGGTCGTGAGAACATCATTTGTGGGAACGCAAATGCAGCAGATACAAAGGATGGTACTCCTGTCCCATGGACACAATCAAGGAATGGGGAACAATTATAGTCGACGCTCTTGTATAGTAAGCTGACCATAAAGTTAAACACATCAGCTATCATCGCGTTGGTGACGGAGCCACTACGGCGTCCCAACTACACACCATAGGAGACTCGGGAGACTTCCGCAAGGAGCTTTACTAAGACCCATTCGTCTCTATGGATAAAGACAGACATCTATCCAAGCCAAGGTCCTCTTTCAGAGTGTTGAAAGATATGGATGGTGGTGGATCTCTGACTGGGTCTGCAACAGGTCCGAAAGATGCGAGGCTGCTGGGGAAAAGGAAAACGTTAACCATACTTTTTTCTTCATCCCACACCCCCCAGTGCTAACTGGCTATCCAATGCATAGTTTCTCCTGAGCATACACAAAGTTTCTCTGATCAGATGATCAGATATCCATAGTTGATCATAGGCCCTAACTGCTGGACTCCGGTCAATTTGCACCCTGCGCTTCTCCTGTGCCGTGGCCTTTCCCGGCATGTTTCTACCAGACCTATTCCATACCTGGAAAGACACGGCTTGGAAGTTTGATGGCCCTTTGAATGAAAGCGCATAGGGGTATGATATTCCAGCGTTCTATCTTCGATACTGGAAACCCTACGTGGAATGCGCGAATACCAAGTGGACCTAGACCTTTGAGTTTCTATTCCATGGTACATGCTTTGTACGCAGTATCCTAAGATTGTGAGAATCTGTTCTGATCAGATCATCTGGACAGCCTCCTAGGCAATAAATCTGTTGTTGACCCGTCGCAAGAATCATTAGGCACGACGACTTGAGAAACAGGAGGGAGAGATGAGTTCAGTATCGATCGGCAGCAACAAAGTTGCACTGATTACAGGCGGAGGAAAGTACATGGGCGTTCCACCGAGTAAGATCGATGACTAACTCGATGGGCCGCCAGCAGTTTCAGGAATGGGCCTCGCAGTTGCGACTGAGCTGATCAAACGAGGAAGCTGGACTGTCCATCTCTTGGATCTCAATGTTGCGGCTGGTGCTGAAGTCATCAAAGCCTTGGGCCCACAGTCACATTTTCATCAGGTTAACATCGTCCGCTACGAAGAGCTGAGCACCGCATTTGACCGTGTCTTCTGTACCGAGAATCGGTTGGATTTCGTGTACGCCAACGCCGGGATCGTCGAACGATTCAACTTCTACGAGAAGCACGACCTGTCCAGCACGCCTCCAGAGCTGGACACGCGCGTGGTGGACATCAATTTGACGGCAGTCCTCACAACTTGTTACCTGGCGTTGCACTATTTTCGAAAGTCGCCAAACGAGCACCGTTCACTGGTGGCCACGGCAAGCTGCGGTGGAATCTATCCTACGCCACAGACGGCCATGTATGCGGGCACCAAGCGTAGGTATTCATCGCAGGCAATGGTCCTTTTTCTCCCGGAGACTCACGCGTGGCTTCTGCACCGGCTAACATCACTTGTCCAGACGGCGTTGTGGGATTCATTCGGTCGATCGCGCCGAAATACCTTCAAGACGACATTCGTGTGAACTGCATATGCCCTGGCACGGTCAGAACTGGCTTGATCGAGCCTGAGGCATGGGAAACCTTTCCCCAGCAGTACTTCACACCAATTGAAGTCATCACCGACACGGTTTTGAAGCTGGTGGATGGAAACGACATGATAGATGCGTCGAGCCACGCGGTGAAGGCCGGCGAACTGTACGGAAGAGCGGTCGAAGTGATCTGTGATAACATTTATTTCAGGGAGCCGCCGCCCTTTTGTGATGAAGCCATGGCGCTTGTGCTAGGAGCCACCACCAAGGACGAAATCTTGAAAGTTGACAATTCCAAGACGTGAAGAGTGTGCATGATATCGTATCACAGTATGAATTGGCAGAAACCACGAAGATAATTGCTGAAGAGAGACGAGAATACGAACGATGTTTGCATGCGTACTTAAAGATGACTTATCCTGGGGGCAGAAATCGTCCGTATGAACCACATTGAGGAATATCGTGCCTTTGAAGCCTCGTTCAGTAAGCCACGAGTCTAGCTGACTTACAATGTCTCCGTGTCTTAGGTACATAATCTGCGCCAGGCTCTCAGGGGCTGTTGCCCGGAGCACAACCTGTGGTCGTCAGCAGGTGATCACACCCGAATTGCCCGCATATCTGAGTGGTGAGATGTGTCATCGGGTCTACAAAGGGTAGAATGTGGGAGGCAGGATGGAGTGATGGCTTTATGAAGCACCGCACTAGCAATGCTAACGGCCATCTATCCGTAGATCTTCAATTTGCCATTGTCAAATATCTAGGTCCCAAGGTGAGTGACCAATACAGAAACACAATATGCAGCCCCCGGCTCATACGCTGATGAGATGGTCTCACAGGAGAATTGCTGATTGACAAATGATGGCTTCCAGGCTTTTTGTTCGATTTTGGACTTGTGATTAACTTGAGTGCTTCGCACGCTCATGTCCTTTGGGACGCTGGAGAAACTGTCCACGCACCAAGTCGATGGTTTCCTTAAGGTTACGGAATGTGCATTGAATGTTGATGTTGTGTTAAGACAAGACTAGATCCTACCAAATAGACTATTTCTTCCTGATGCTTCCCAGCCTTGAGATGGTATATCGAATTAACTCGACATAATGGTTATTGACCTGCTCAGCCCTCTTGTTGACTTCCTAACCCCTTGCCCGAACCTAGGAATATCTCGTGAAACAAAAACCTCCCGGTCTACATCCCTCGAGGATCTATTCATAGATGCTGATGAACGGCTACTTCTCCGAAAACCCCTGACGCACGTGATGCCGAACGTGATCGCTTTAAAAGCAGCGAGCATTTGATATGGTCACCCCTCCTCGGTACTCACGATCTCTAAACTTCATCCAAACCTGCCCTGTGTGTATGGCAGGGAAGTCGTCATAACACGCGGTCTGCTTGGAAATGATGAGCAGTCACAATGCCTGGTCAGTCAATGCCTGGTCAGTCAATGAATAGGCAGGAGCCACCGGCCGAGAAAGTCCGCCAACGCATCTCGTTAGCCTGTAAATCATGCAGAAGCAAACGGGTTCGTTGTGATGGAGCACAACCGATTTGCCAGTCCTGCTCACAGAAAGGGTTTGTGTGTGAGTATCCATTCCGTGAAGACCGCCGCAAACCGCCTAGTCGTCGCTACACCGAGGCTCTCCTGGCCCGAATCAGATCTTTGGAGGACCAACTACAACGTCAAACACAATCTTCAGACTCGACGACGTCTGCGGTCACAGGTGAATTACGAGACGAAATTGTCATCGAGACCGACGATTATCCTTCCGAATCAGAGGGGGAGAATGCCGGCGAATTTTCAGGACGAGATCCTGTTGATGACATTGCCGAAATGGTCGGCCGACTGAACGTAGGTGAAGACGGACAACTTCGATATTTTGGCTCATTGAGCAATTTCCATCTTCTTCGTGGACTGATGCGCCACGAAACCTCATCTTCCAACGAAGAAGTGCGACTTCGAGCATCAAATATGCTTCAAAAGTTAAATATCCCCTTTGAGATTCCGCTTGAACTTCAAGCAGAGCTTCTCGGCCTGTATTGGACTTGGCAGAACACCTGGCAATACGTTGTACATAAAGACGCCTTTCTACAGGAGTACAATCGAGGGCAAATGGGACGTTACTGCACCCCACTCCTCATTTCCGCAATTTTCTCACTCGCAGCTCGCTATTCGGATCGTCCGGAACTACGAAGTGGTTCCCAAGATCCTAATACTGCCGGAGATGTCCTGGCAGAGCAGGCAAAGTTGATGCTATTCCATGAAGTAGAAGCCCCTACGACCAGCACGGTTCAAGCTGCGACCTTGATCGCCTTGAGAGAATTTGCCGTGAACAAAGAGGCATCTGCGTGGGTTCATATAGGGATGGCAACCCGCATGGCATACAACCTTGGCCTCAATCTCGACTGTCGCCACTGGGTTCGCCTCAAACAGATCTCCGAGCTAGAGGAAGAAGTCCGGAAGGTTGCCTGGTGGGGATGCTACCTCGTGGACAAGTTGACCAATATTGGTCTTGGTCGACCCAGTGCTATTCAAGCACATGATATTAGCATACCAAAGCCTTCTCTCATTCCCGAAATCGAATTCCAACCTTGGTGTGCTTCAGACCGCGGCCCGAGTATGGACCTCCCCCAATCGCGGATGGTGTCGAATAGCCATTATGCATGTGAATTGTTCAGCATTGTTTCTTACCCCCTGGATATCTTGTGAGTTTGCAACATCACGGTCGACGTCGTCTCTGCTAATGGTCATGACCTAGATATGCCCCAAATAGTCAGCTCTCTCATCATCAAAAGGAAACTCTCGTCTCTAGCACCGATATATCTTTGACGAACTTCCACAACACCCTCCCCAGCTTCCTTCGCATTCCAAACTCCTCAAATACCCCAGCTCTCCCGCATGTATACCAACTCCATTTACAGTACCACGTTACCGAGATTCTTCTCCACCGGCCTTTCATCAAGCCACGAAAAACCGGTGCCAGCCCACTTGCGGCTATTGACGACTCAACAGGGCGATCCCATCTCGATATCTGTCGAGCTTCCGCAGTCACCATCTCTGGCATCCTTCGGGCCTACAGGATACATTATTCTCTGCGATGTATCGTGATCTCGACTGTCCATTGTACATTTACAGCCTCAATCATCCATCTCTACGACACTACAAGTCTAGATCCGGGAATTCGAAGCACTGCCAAACGCCACCTTCAAATATGTATTCAAAGCTTACTGGAAATGAATGTCCTCTGGGCCTGGAGTTCACGGGCACTCATAGCGCTACAACTACTGGCCAGGGAATGGCTCATGCAAATGAACTTGACGGAATTGTCGCACCCAGAGTTTTGGACTGTCTTGCGCAGCCTCGACCAAGCTATAAAAACCATCTCTCCAATCACCCCCACAACTAATTTGGATTTGGAGGGTGCACCATCGACGGGCTCCTTCGAAGGTTCTTCGATCCTAAATTCAACTCAGCTTGACCGTTTGACGGAAGATTTTGTCGCTCTCGACGGGGGACTTGAGTCTCTGACAGCCGAGGGGTTCAGTGACCAGATCTTCTTGAATTCTACTCTCGGTTTCGGTCACCTACCCGATTTTTCGTTTGAAGACCCTACGTTGGACTGGCATCGGGACGCGACCTTTTAATATTTCATTAATGGAACATGCGACCCGGTCCACCTGGGTTTATCTACCTAACCAGGATTCAGAACGGCAGCCCCGTTTTGACAATTAGAGAGATCAAGTGCTACCAAGCCCACCATTAGACATTGGAGATATTTCATTGATGGCACTATGTAAGCTCGGATTTCGAAGGGTTCTTGACACCAATCATCATCGAGTGTGAAGATAGTGCATTGAGATATATTTGGAGGAGACTTGGGAATACGTTGCCACTGTCTTTGTTTACTCTTTGCCTCCATCGGCCCTATCTGAATCTTCTGCCGGGGACGACTCGGGGATATCGAATCGACCCTCGGCCAAGGTCTCTTCCAGACTCTTGAACTGTGAGGTGAGGGTCGGACCTGGATGGTACAGATCGTTGTCGACAGTGTTTCTCTTAACGTGGACGCGGAAGTGCTTCGGCTCATCATCTACCAAAAGCCGAAGAAGATCTGGTCGTGAATAGTGGCCGACAGGGTCTGCGATGGCTTTGGCAAGGTCGATTTGATCCAAGTCAATATCGCAGTAGATCAGCCCGTCGAACAGAGGGTCGACGTCTTCCGTCAGCTTCTTTCCATCCGGAGCAAATACGCCAGAGTTTCCCCCTCCGCCACTGAGCATGAAGCTTCCTTCCGGCGCCTTTTGGCCGGCACTGTTGGCTTTGACGCCTGCAGGTGACACGCACTGATTTGTGACAAGGACATAGGCTTGGCCTTCAAGAGCATACATGCGGCTGGCCGTCACTTCGTTTGCTTCATTGCATACGGACCATGGCTCCCCCAGACCGAGGTAGTTGCCATTGAAAGGCCATGCCGCAATGTGGACTTGCTCCCCTTGGGCGTACGTGTGGTATTTGAGCAGTGGTTGGAAATGCTCCCAACAGTTGAGCATTCCGATTTTGCCCAGCGGAGTATCGACGACGTTGTTCAAAGAGTCTCCGGTCGAGTCCCCGAAAAGGGTTCGCTCGACATGTGTCGGTTTGAGCTTCCGACGATGGAGCAAGACTTTGCCTTTGGAATCAATGAGCACCTGCGACAGATAGAGACTGCCACCGTCTCTTTCGCTGAAACCCAGACAGACATAGATGTTGTTGTCCGCCGCTGCCTGACGAATACGAGCCATCTCCGGTCCATGCGCCCCCATGCTGTTCTGCATGTATTTGTGGACCAGAGGGATGTTCTCCAGATAGTTTCCGCCCCAGAGGAAGTTGGGATATCCTGGGAGCCATACTTCGGAGAACGCAATCAGAGAGGCACCGTTAGAGGCCGCTTCCTTGATAAATTTGATGGTCTTTTCGACGCCGGCTGCCAAATCGAACCAGCACGGTTCAGATTGGACCGTAGCTGCCTTGTATCTCCGGATGGACATTTTGTCTGTGAACGCGAGTTGCGGAAGAAGGGATATCTCGATCTCTAATCATATGTACAATGATATACTGCTCGGGGCGATGATAGTCATGTTCCGCTGGAAGGCCACGCCTATCATACCTTATAGTCAACCATCACTACCCCTCCCACCACACAACGCGGCTGCGTAACTCTTGCTACTCCACCTCCGGATTCTCAATATCCTGTGATCATCTGTTGCTCCCGCACTGTCTAGCACCTGGCCTCGAGTGGGTCCTGGTGGTCTTCTCCATTGAACGTACGGAGTAGCCAGACAAGATCTACGGCAAATTAATACAGGTCTCCATGACCGGGTCAGCAGTACCCGCATGTCGTCTCCTGACCAGCAGCAGCCGAGCTGTCGTTAGCAGTTGACAACTCGATTTGAAGAAGATGTTTGGTCCGTGACGGTACCATCAGGACTCTGGGGATCAAGTTGAAATCCTCCGAGTCCCCACTTCTGGAAGAGCAATATCCGGCCTCTTCGTCCCACTCTGGGCAAGACAATGCCTCTGAGTGGTTGGCCTTGTTATCGCCAAATGCCCATCAATATCTTTCACCGTGTTGATGAAAGATGAATATTGGCTGAGCTCGTTCTATCGGAAGCGCCCATGACTTCAACTCGAGGCCCTGGGCAGTCAATCTGTTCGGTTGATGCTGGAGATTGCTCATCCGAACGAAGTATGGATCGAGGGATGTTGTCTATAAAGGCAAGAGAGGCACTCCTTGCGCATCAGGGGTTCAAGGAGTGAGCAGACAACAATCCCTTGTCACATCGCGCTTTTGAGTTCAAGCCACAATTTCTTCTCGTCATGGCCGGAGCAAAACCCCCCAAGGAACACCGCAGCAAGTTCAATGTACTGGTGCGTTGAGCCCTACCAGTGTGCCGTGTCACACTCCTAATAGTGTCTCTCTCAGATCATTCTATTCGCCACTCTAGGCAGTCTAACGTACGGATACTGCACATGTATCATCGCCACCACGCTTGGTCAACCTAGCTTCCAGGTGTACATGCGCCTCGACACACTCTCCAATGCGGTCCAACTCATCGGCGCTATCCAGGGCTTGTACCAGGCAGGAGGACTTCTCGGGACAGCGTATGTAGGGCTCACCGGCGACAAATTGGGTCGCAGGTGGGCCATCTTCTTTGCCTCGTCCGTCTGTGTGGTGGGCGGAGTTCTACAGACCGCTTCCGTTCACGTCGGCATGTTCATGGCAGCTAGGTTCATCACCGGCCTGGGAATCGGTGCTCTGGTCACTCTCATTCCACTTTGGCAGACTGAAGTTGCCCCTCCACGAACACGAGGTTTTCTTGTTGGTCTTCACGGTGTGTTCATTCTCTTGGGATATAGCTTGGCGAGTTGGGTCGGAGTTGGATTCTTCTATGTCAATGCAAAGGGTGCGCAATGGCGCATCCCGTTGGCGTTCCAGATCATATTCCCCCTCTTGCTTGCATCGGGCATTTTATTCCTGCCCGAGTCCCCCAGATGGCGTAAGTCTTACCAAGCCAGTACGGGATTAATTCCCTGTTTCGGTGTCCCATTGTCCTCGCATACCTTGTCACTGACCCCCAAACACAGTCATGGAGCGCGACCGGAAAGATGAGAGCCTCAAGGTTCTTCACAAGATCCACACCGATCTGAGTGACCCTGAAGGTCACTTTGCGCATAGGGAGTACAGACAAATTGCGCAGCAAATCGAGCTGGAAAAGACGCTGCCTTCATCCTGGGCCTCTATCTTCGCCATCCCCTCCTATCGCAAGCGATGCCTGATCGGCTTCTCCTGTATGTTCTTTGCTCAATGCACGGGCACACAGGTCATCAACAATTATGGACCTACGCTGTATTCCAGATTAGGTTTCAACGCGGCCAATTCGTTGATCATCCAAGCCGGATGGATCACCTGCGGCATATTCGCCAATGCCATCAATGCCCTCCTCCTCGACATTTTCGGCCGCAAGTGGTTGATGACGGCTGGGATGGTTGGGTGCAGCATCGCTCTTCTGGGAGAGATCATCATGTTGGCCGTCTTCGAAAACTCAAACAATCGCGCGGGTAACAGCGCGGCTGTGTTTTTTCTGTTTCTCCACATCGGATGGTGAGTAACATGCTGACTTGGCCGCCTCCAATATCTGTGAAGATGAAACGGAGCACAAGCCGTCTTACTTGGGTCTCACCGCTAATGCAAAATGTCCTCCGGGCGCAGGTACGGATCGTGCCTCGACGCGTCGACCTACGTGTATGCCAGCGAGATCTGGCCGACGCATCTGCGCGCTCGGGGCTGTGCCCTTTCTACCAGCGGTCTCTTTGTCGCGTCGCTCATCTTACTCTGCGCTGCCAGTGACGGCTTTGCCGCCATCGGCTGGAAGTACTACCTTGTGTTCTTGGTCATGACTGTGCTCGGTGGTACTATCTTTGCTGTTTGGTTCCCCGAGGTATGTTGACAACATTTTCGTATTTGACTGATCTCCCTGCATTGATCGAGCTGCTGATTTTCTGGTCTTTGGGCATAGACGAGACATAAACCCTTGGAAGAAATTGCGGCCGCATTCGGTGATGAGGTAGTGGACTTCCACCTAGACGGAGAGAATCCTTTGGGAACCGACAAGATTGCCGGTAGTGGCCATGAGGTCAATCTGGCTGACTCGAAGGACACAAGAGAGAGAAAGCGTGGCTCGAGATAGTCTCGGTGTCTGGGTGACTCTAAAGAGATGAATGCTTCTATGGGCGTTATTTTATACACAAGGTGAGTCGCGAGTAGGCATCGTCTTTAAAAGCGGCGCCGTCTTCGTCCATTATTGCTTGTTGCTGCCAAGGTCCGGCAGATCTCCGGAAAAGAAGCTACAGGCGCAAGTATATATTTCGAAATCCAAGACTTTCTTCTCTTATAAAATTCAACGCGCGCCCACAAGACAGTGCAATGCAGCATTTCCCGCGAGGCCTGACATCTTGTCAGATCTCGCGGCTTATCAATTGTTAGACTTTGCGATTCAGCGACGCGGAGACCAAGGTTTTTTACATCGTCGGTGCCATAAGAGCTGGCTGAGCATTTAATTCAAAGTTGCTCAGGCGGTGTCAGAGGCCCCAAACATTATGAATTTTCAAATAATCCTGTACAATGTAATGCAACAAATGCTATGGATCTCGCTTGGATATCATGTTGTACACAAATTTACACACCCGTTGGGACACACTCGGAACTCATAACGGCGTGGAAGTCTCGGGTTCCTTCACTTTCGGTGTCCAATCTCTTTTCAAGCCCATGGGCACCAGTATCCTTTCTTTCGCGATGCGGTTTGCCACTGCACTTCCATGTTCGAGCGCCAACGCGCCGACAATCGCCAAAAGGGCCTGTGAGTAGACGAGATCGGCACCAGACGCTTCGAGTCGATCGGGCTACAGAAGGAAAATTAGAGACTGCGCTGGACAAAAACCCATCCGTTCACATTGTTGAAACTTACATTTTTGGGGTGCCACCGCACCACCTCAGGTAGTCCGTACTGCGTGGCCAAGTTCGACAGTGCCTTGTGGTGTGTGAAATATTGATGGGCTCCTCCCAGTAGACATTCGACGGCCTCGATGGCAGGGTGCCGGAAAGGTTCACGGCCGTGGGTGTCCTGACCCTCGCCCTTCAGAAAGGCAGCGGCATCGGACACGCTCAGCAGGCCGAGCGAGCATTGTAATTCGACTATGCGTTTGCCTTTTTTTGTGTGTCACACATACATGTCAATAATGCTGGTTCTCGTCTCCCATCAGTAGTAGAAGTAGTAGCTTTCTCTTACCGAAAAATGCCAGGCGGTCATTGAAGCCTCTGCGACCGTGATCGAAGCTTTTGCTCGTCACCGCCAACCATTTCGTCTCTTCCGACAGCATTTTGTCCCCGTCTCTTCCCAGGATGTTCACATACACATCGTCGAGTCTCCTCTGATCGGTGTTGACTTTCAGGGTGTTTTGTCGCTCAGGTCTCGTGCGCACGGGAGCTTTCATGCCGGCGGGCGTCGTCGCCCAGCGCGGAGTGGTGCGCTCCGATTCGACTTCCATCTCGGATCGTTGAGAACCGGCGGTCGATACATGTCGGGCTTGTTGTCGGGGCCTGAGTTTGCGATTCACAAGTCGAGTCTGTAGGCATTCGCAGGTAGGCCGTTGTCGGGTGGTCGTCTTCAGAGCATCTAGGACGATACGGGCGGGTAATGATGCCTTTGAAGACATTATGGAGGGGGTCACTTGAATATAAGAACAGTCCAGGGACTTTGTGTCAACAGGATCTGCGATGCTGGGACTGCGGGAAGCTGGAAATATGTCGTTTTCTCTCCGGTATGGAAATAGAAAAACTTATGGGGTCTGTGCTCCACTCTAGCGTGGATCTACTGCGCAGCAATTTGACATCGAAGCGCGACAACGTCCAACTAGGGAAGTAACCACACCTCACCATGGAGCATCCAGACAATGATCACGGTTGTCAGAATGCTCCTACATGCTTGAGATTGTGCGGCATCTCTAGCTAAAGTTTTCCTAGACCTACATTCGAATTGCGCGTCGTGGTTCGGTTCATGACTACCTGGGAATCTAGCCAATGCCACCGCGGTGCAGTGGTTCACCTCTCGAAGCCGTCCAATTGATTCTTCTAGCTTGTCCCCAAGAGTCTGTGATGGCAATGCCGCGTTGCCACTTTACTTCAGACTCGGTGAACATAAGCCAGGAAATGACTTTCAAGACCTGGACTAATATGTTCTTTTCTTTGCCGGCACCGTCTTGCATTCATCCGGATCCAGAGTCTGGAACACCACATCGCGATAACCCATCAAGACCTCTTCTCCGACGTCTTTTTGCCAGCTCAGGCTGTGCTTCATGAACTCTTCATCCATACGCTCTGGATAATCCTCTCTGGCATGGGAACCCCGCGATTCCTTCCTATCCAAGGCACTCTTCGCTGTCTGAGATGCGCATGTCAAGAGATTCCGCATTTCAAGTGTTTCCACAAGGTCTGAATTCCAGATTAGAGATTTGTCCTTGACGCAGACATCTCTGTTGAAAGCTGCCTCGACCTGCTGTAGTCTTTGAAGCCCACTTGACAGACTCTCTTCATCCCTGAAAACAGCAACATCCGTCTGCATGGCTTTTTGCATGTCCAGTCGGAGGTCGGCGGTCAGCTTAGTTCCGTCAGCTGTTCTGAAGCGTTCAAGGTCGACGAAGCCCTCGATTCCAGTTTCGGGTGTAATCGATCCGCCATTCCTGAAAACAGGCATCCCTTTGTCGTTGTTCTCGGCGATGTGGGCAGCGGCTGCCCTGCCAAATACGACAATGTCAAGCAGTGAATCTGAAGAGTGGTCAGTTTCGGAAAGGACAGATTATTGATGGTGAACCATAGTTTCGCAAGAGGATTCAAATGGGTGAGGACTTACTGGCACCCAAGCGATTAGCACCATGGACGGAAACGCATGCGACCTCTCCAGCGGCATACAAGCCATTGACAATTGTCTCCTTGCCGGTTCCGGGGTCGACATTCAATACCTGGCCTTTCCAGTTGGTAGGTACACCGCCCATGCAGTAATGGACCGTCGGAATAACTGGGATTGGCTCCTTTGTGATGTCCACACCCGAGAAGATGCTTGCAGTTTCTGCAATCCCAGGTAATCGCTCCATGAGAATGTCTCTGGGGAGATGAGACAACTGGAGGTAGATGTGGTCTTTATCCGGACCGCAGCCTCGTCCTTCACGGATCTCCATATTCATACTCCGACTCACTACATCTCTCGAGGCGAGATCTCGTGCGGTCGGAGCATAACGTTCCATGAAACGTTCCCCCTGGCTGTTCAGTAGATATCCACCTTCTCCCCGGGCGCCTTCTGAAATCAGGACTCCCGCACCGTCTATGATACGTCAGATTTGCGGCCAACAGAAGATAAATATTCCCACGCTAGTCGGGACTCACATATGCCGCTTGGGTGGAATTGCACGAACTCCATATCTTGGAGAGGAAGCCCGGCCCTACTTGCCATGGCAAGTCCGTCTCCAGTGCTAGTATGAGCGCTGGTTGCGCTGAAGTAAGCGCGCCCGTAACCTCCTGTCGCTAGGATTGTGCTGGTTTCATCAGTACCGAGAAATGCTCCGCCGCCGCATGGATGTATGGCACTCACTTTCGAGCAAAAATTCTGTGCAAGGTTCCCGTCTCCATATCCAACGCCGTGAGACCTATACAGTCCTTCCCGTCCATGATCAGATCCAAAGCGAACCACTCTATATGGAACTGGCAATCATGCTTCAAGGCCTGCCCGTACAAGGTATGCAACATGGAGTGGCCCGTCCTATCGGCTACGCAAGCAGTTCTGTGCGCTTGACCACCAGTTCCATACTCCAGAGACTGGCCACCCAGCGGCCGCTGATAGATAGTTCCTTCTTGAGTGCGGGAAAAGGGCATGCCGTACTCTTCGAGCTCCCTAACAGCCCGTGGTGCTTCGCGGCACATGTAATGGATTGCATCCTGGTCGCCTAGCCAGTCTGACCCCTTCACCGTGTCGTACATGTGCCACCGCCAATCATCGTCGTGCATATTTGCCAAAGCGGCATTGATGCCTCCTTGGGCAGCAACGGTATGAGACCGCGTAGGGAACAATTTGGTCACGACAGCAGTCTCGAGGCCAGACTCGGCCAGACCGACGGCTGCCCGCAAACCAGCGCCACCAGCGCCGATAATGACGGCGTCATATTGGTGATCAATTACATCGAATTTGCCGTTGAATGCGTGAACGGACGAGGTAGTGGCACGTCGCTTCTGGTGTAGTTTTCGTGTCTGTAGTCGAGATGTCCGGCTACGTACTCTCACAAATGGTTCCTGAATGTGTCGGACAATCGACGTTGTTTGAGGACGCACCGCCGTGCTTCGAACCACTGTGTTAAACGAAATCATCGTGGATTGAACCAGGTAGTCATCCTCGTATTGATTCGAGAGCTTTCTTTGTACGGACTCGAAGTCTACCTAGGTAGAGGCTCAAGGACAACCAAGGTCGATGTTTTTGTAAGTCGGAAGATGGTGTAAGAGTAGGAGAAAGATGGAGCATCTCGAAATCAAGTTCCGAGATCGCAAGCGTCTCGAAATGATTCCGAGCGGGAGACTGGGCCAATCATTATGGAGGAGTTGCTCATCCGAGGCTTTCTGACGAAGTCTTTCTCTCCTTTCGTCTCCCGTGGCCCCCAAAGGGCGAATAACGGGGAGAGGAAGCCTCTCCAACCTTGGAGAATTGCCGATACTGCCGAAGTGCGGACCACGGCCAAAGAACGTGAAGCAAGATGCCGCCAGCCACAGTGCTGTCAAGCCCAGTCATGATGGCATAGATTCGAGATTGTACAGTGATTCACGATAGAGACATCACTGGTCAGCGGAAAGAATAGGATGGTGACTGCGCCATTCTGGCACGGCTGGTTTTTCTAGAGATGACAACCTTTAGATGCCGCCTCCAAGTTCTTGAGGCTTGAAGCAGAATGTGACAATAATGAAGACGGAGCATGTATCAGACAGATACCTGGATATGATCATCCCTACCAAGTCTACATGTACTCCATGGGGCAGAACAACACCTCCTCGGATCCTCTCCGACAACGTCCATCATCGTCGCTCAAACGTCGTGGGTAGAGAGCGAAAATCTGTACAATATTGTCCTCGTGTTGCAGCTTTACAGGAGACTTGTAACCTTCCATCTTCGTCGAGACTGCTTCACCAAAGGGTAATAGTACAGCCTTGAGAAGAAACAAACTGACTAACAGCCGTGATGTGATTACTCACAGTGAAGTCGTCTGTCTGTTGAACGTATCACTGGATTTGCAAGATTTGCGTCTTTCGTGAAGCCAATGTGGAGATGCCATATCCGTCAATGACTATTGATAAGTGCTCACTCAGGGTAGAGATAGTCCACCCAGAGTGTCTGTGATAAACGTTCTCTCTCCTACAGATCCCTGAGAGTGATCGCATTGAACCTTTGAAGTATTGTACGATGCGATGTCGCTGAGATGTGTCAAAGGGAGCCAGCGCTTGTGTACGAGGTACGAGCCTTGTACAAGTTAAAGATGGGGGGGCCAGGGGCGATCGCCAGTCCCCAGCAATGTTTGTGCTCATTGGCTTTGGGAGGGATGGTGAAGCCTAACAAGGCCTAGCAGGGCCGAAGCATTGCGCCTAGTGTAGCCCTAGAGACCCCCAGCGTCCGACATAGGAACCGCCCAACTGTACAGTAGGTACGGCTAACGGAGGACCTTATGCAATGAAACCTTCCATTTGCTCACACAGGTGCTCCATTCTTCCCCTCAACGGACGCCCTTTGCCCATCTTTGCGACCCAAGACCCACGAGACAGCGCGAAGCTCTCTTCGGCCATCTCCGCCTACTACTATTGTAGAGTTGAGGGACGGAGGGTCATCGGGAGGGAAAACGTTTTGTCAAAGCCCCTCCGATAAGCACAAGTGCAGATCGATCGAATGGACAAACACCTCGAGTTGTTATAGCTTGCGGGCCCTCTGACCCCAGGACTTTTTCTCTCTTGTATCCGGATCCTTTAGCAGTTGGTGCTTCAAGCTCTAACCGTTGACTGTTAAATCGAGGCACACAGGTACAGAGGAAGTGAGTTTGCAACCGAAGCCCGATCCGCGTCGCACATTGCGTCCAAATGGATCACAAACTGACCATGACCAGCACCACCTAGATCAGACACATTACGAGTACCACCATGCATTACGCGACTCTGCCTCTCCTCGCCTCTCTGGCCTCGACTGCCTTCGGACAGACCGAACAGGTGATCGGGGCATACATCTTCCACCGTCACGGAGATCGTACTGCAAAGTCGACACCACCGGCGAATCTGACGGATCTGGGTTATCAAGAGGTCTACACATCTGGCAACTACTACCGCAGCCGCTACGTTAGCAGTGAGGCCAGCCGCCGCATCTATGGCCTCAACTCGGACATTGTCAAGCAGTCGCAAATCACTGCCTCGGCTCCCAGCGACACCGTCCTGCAGAACTCGGCCGCTGGCTTCCTCCAAGGTCTGTACCCTCCGGTCGGCGAGACTCTGGGCAGCAACACTCTCCGCAACGGTACCGTCATCCGCTCACCACTGAACGGTTTCCAATTGATCCCCCTCGGGACCGTCACGACCGGCACCAACAGCGAGAACTCGGCCTGGCTCCAGGGCTCGACCAACTGCGCCAACGCCCAGATCAGCTCGAACAACTACTTCAACAGTGCCAGCTACCTCGCCGCGCTCAATAGCACCCAGTCCTTCTACGATGGCCTCGAACCCATGATCAACCGCACCTTCACCGCGCAGCAGACCAGCTTCAAGAACGCCTACACCATCTTCGACCTCCTCAACGTCGCCAGCATCCACAACTCGTCCGAAAACTTCCCCAATGCGGACCTCCTTACCCCCGAGACCTTCTTCCAGCTGCGCACGAGGGCCGACCAGCACGAGTTCGGCCTGGCCTACAACGAATCCGAGCCCATCCGCGCCATCACGGCCTCCGTCCTCGCCGCACAGGTCGTCGACGCCCTCAACGGCACCATCGCCAACAAGGGCAAGAACAAGCTCAACATCCAGTTCGGCGCGTACGGCGGCATGATGTCGTACTTTGGCCTCACCAACCTCACGACCGTGGACCCCGACTTTTTCGGCGTGCCGGACTACGCGTCCAGCCTCGTGTGGGAGCTCGTGACCAACGCCAGCGTCTCGAGCACCTCGTTCCCCACCGCCGACGAGATCAGCGTCCGCTTCTACTTCCACAACGGCACGGCCAGCAACACCAGCGAGCCCGCCGAGTTCCCCCTGTTCGGCGGCGCGCGGTCCCCCCTGCCGTGGTCCGATTTCGTGGCCGGCATGAACAAGTTTGCCATCTACTCGCAGGCGGACTGGTGCAAGGCCTGCGGGAACTCGACCGGCACCTGCAGCGCGGCCGCCCTGGGCAACGACGACAGCTCGCCCATCGGCACCAGCTCCCACTCTGGCGGTGGCATGTCCAAGGCCGTCGCCGGCGTCATTGGTGCCATGGTCACCCTGGGCGTCATTCTCGGCTTGGAGTTGCTTATCGTTCTGGTCGGTGGTTTGAGGGTCGTCAGCAAGAAGCGTCTGGCCGGTGCCGGTGCTGCTTCTGGCGCCGCCCAACCTGGCATGACCACGACCTCTGGCTCCAAGGCATAAGTGCCTAGGTATATATATCGTCACAATTTTCAGAGGTGTGATAGATATACGACCAGTGAGACCTAGTACGATGTGAGAGAGATCTCGGTTTTTTGGAAACACCGCCTCTGATCTTTTTGCTTTTTTTCAGAACCCGATAATGCTGCTGCCCTATCTCATTACAGACACAGATCAGAAAAAAATGTCACTTGTATTTCCATCCTCGATCCTATATAAAAAAGTCTACGTACCTAGGTAGGTAGTTTGGTTATACTCGATATTCATAGTAGTAAGCGCAATTGATACGAAGATGCATATACATTTAGGTATAAATCCATGTCTACCTAGGCAGTGCATACCCACCGCAGTTGTACCGATTGGTACTTGTGGTCGGGCTCTAAGGTACTGCGTAGTGGTCTTTTTTTCCCTTTCGGGTACGTAGTGGTGGCAGCTGGATTTACGACCTGACATGATCGATCACCTGTATTACTCCATTTTCATGTCTCAACTTGAACAACGAACATGGCGATGATGTATACGTGAGGGCCACTACTAAGACACACAACGTACTTGTTCCAACAGTTATGCTCACAACCAATGTAATGCAAAGGGCTTCTTTTTCCCCACTTTATGTTCTTTTTTTTTTAAAAAAAAACAAAAACAAAAACAAATTGAAGTCGTCGTTAAAAATTCATTAGGTATGCCTCTCCCAAAGCGTACCGCTTCATAAGCCTATAGTCATACTCGGATCGACGCTCGATAACAATTCCCCGACTAACAGCGCTGAACCTTTTTTGGCTTTTTTTTGGTGGCCTGCCAAACCCATAGAAGAGAGTGCCGAGCAGTAACAAGAAAGAAAACAAAACGAAATCGCCACTGGCCATCACTGGCCGCTGGGTCGTCGTGACGCATGGTCAAATTTTCTTCCTTCCGAGGTTGGAACCGAGGTAGCGATCGATCTGATCCATGTCCTGCCTCAACCATGCGTGCGCCTGTTCGAAATTGGTCGAGGTGTGAGGGTGCCACGTAGCCGGAGGGTTCTTGCCAGGTGACGTCGCCGCGGCTGCAGGTGGCATGTTCGCGGCGACATTACCAGCTATACCGTCCGAGGTGTTTGTGTGACAATGTTCGTTATCGGATCTGGAAAAACCAAACCCCCCCCCAGGGCCAGCCGGTCAGTCAGTCAATCCCAGAAAGGCTCAAGTCAAAAGATTGTAATTTTTTCAAAATTCGAGGTACTCACGGCAAGCTGCTCTCCGGCTGGACGTTGGAACCGTTGAACCCGAACATTGTAAAGTCATCCTAAAAGGGGGCAAACCAGCTTGTCAGTCAGCTTTCTAGAAAAGCGGTCCACTTTATCGATCGTCAGCCCATCAAGTTTGTGGTTTATGACAGAGTCACACATGGACAAAAGGTGGGTAGGTGACATACCGATATCGTGGCAAATTGAGGGTCGAATGCGGTGTTGTTGCTGGCACTCCATGCCGCCGGGGGTGTGAGAGTCGCAGGTGCTTGTTGTGATTGTTGGCGTCGTTGGTGTCGTTGGGAACCATTCTCAGACGAGGCCTCCTGCGAGGTGGTCTCGGACGGTACCGAGGCGGTCTGCCTCCAAGCCCGTGCCAACGGTGGAGGGATATTACTGGCGTCGGGTCTTGGAGAGCGGGATGCCAACGTTTCGGCGTACTGCAAGACCTTTGCTAAATTGGTGTCGGTCGCTGGGTCCGAACCGTCTGTGATGTCGTCCTTTTGGGACCGAAGATGGTGGAGGATTTGACAGGCGGCGTTGGGCGGGCTCGTTCGAAGGATTTCGAACAGACGCTGGTATTGTTGGACCTTGTCGGCCAAGGCTTGTACTTCGGTCGGGGAACTACGCCCTCGACGACCGTCACTCCCTTGATCGTAGCTACAAGTAAGAGACTTGCTCGAACACCGCGAACAGGGGTTCTTCCCGTTGCACTTGGCCTGACGTGGAGAAAGCAAAAGAGAGGTTAGTGGCCTTGACGCAGACATGGTGCTAGAGTAGAGAAATGTATGTGTGGACATGAGTATAGATGTAGAGATTTAATTACCCTCTTGACTTTGCACAGATCACAAGCGACGGTGACGTTGGTTCGGTACCGACGATGTGACAGATCGTTGGAGAGGCGCAGAGGACTCGGGGGGTTGAACGACCCTTGAAGCCGAGGAAGTATCTGGCGTGGAGTGCGTCCGGCACTGTCTCGCGAAGACGACGAGGGTTGATGAGACGGCGATGAAGATTCGTGTGTTTGTTGTGATGCAACGGTGTGCCTGAAATGTCTCGAGGGTGGTTGCACTGTATGATGAGGGACCACACGGAAGACGAGTCACACACGACAATTGATTCAATCCATACTGAGTGGGATTGTGAACAACAACAACGATGAATCTAGAAAGGGGCAAATAATGTGAGACGAGACAAAAAGAACTCTCCAATGCATGTACGTTTTGTCTTTTTTGTGCCACTGTCTTGTCTCGCTGGGATGTCTTGGTAGGAGGAGGAGGTGGCCATCTTGGTCTTGTGTTTACTTGCCGGTCTGATCTAGCACGGAAACAGAACCCGTACGTCAGAGAGATCTTGAGAATCTTGCCAGAGATGCACCCGTAACTTTCCCTCTTAGAGCGTAGTTGGCAGAACAAGTCAGTCAGTCACAGGCTGGAGAAGAGGTGCGGAAATCTAGTCCTCGACATGCCTATTGGTCAGATGGAATGGTCTTTTCTTCCGGGGGTCGCAAGCTAGAGATTGAATTGGACATATGAGATACAGTAAGGTCTCCGTACATAAAATGTCTTGGTCATAATTGCCGTGATCAGCTCCAGATGTCAGATACCAGAACTAACATTTGCAATACGCAATAATCAGATGAAGTTTGATAGAAAATGAAATTCTTCCAAGATTGCAGAATTTTGGATGATAAGTCATGCGAAGATCACGTGAATGTCACCTGACTGGGATATTCCCTTGCTGACATAAGCATCATGACCGTGTCCGGCGCTGTGCCAAACGTGTCTCCTTTTTCTCAAAGGAACTCTTCAAAGTCTTTCAACTATTTGGCAATGTTCTGACACGAAGCGATGCAGTGCCTCAATATATGTAAGTCAACCATCAGTGCATCACAGGCTTCTTAGAGACATGTTTGCTCAGTGGCGAATGAATCAGTGTCACCCTCAAGACTGTACGGCGTACCGTTGTTGTTACTCTTAAAGGGCGTAGGGACGACACTAGATCAACGGTGTCTGTCTCTTTGAGGACAGGACCCTCCCTGCCGACCAACTTGTCATTCAATAGAGCTTTGGGGACGTTCAAGCAATTTCGAATACGAGCTCAATATGAGGCATGTTAATCGGGTGAATGACCTCCAGTCCTTCACTGTACAGATCCAACAGAGATGATCTCGGAATCAGTGCTGTCGCATCCCAATTCCAACAGACATGGTCTTGAGTCATTGTTTCCGACGTTCTCTCGATGCTCAAATACAATATTCCTCCAGTCATGGCTACCATACTGTCCCCCCTTTTGTACGTTCACTGCCTTCTGTTGCCTTGCGGTGTTCATTCCACACCAATTCACTACTCTTCAGGACAATTATTCACCAAGGAGACTCCCTTTACAAGCATTGGTATGTATACGCGTGATTGGCCTGTCTATACATTAGTATGGCCATTCAATATACCCAGCCGCGCGCCGAGCAAAACCATGCCCACGATCAAAATGGGTATTTCTTTCATATCATTTGCCGTCCCTGTCTGTCTCGCTGTCTTGTCATTGTCCATCTCAAAGGTCTGTCTTCTCCTATTTGTCGTCATCATCACAAAACCTTTCTTCCCTGGCCCGAGTACAATGTCTCCCTCAAAGCCACAGTCTTGTCTCCTCGAGGCCGAGCTCAAAGCCCTCGAAAATGCATACACGGACCTCCAAAAGGTGAATGATAGATTGCAAAAGAAGAATGATGCGTTGGTCAATGAGGTGTCGACACTCAGAGGACTTGTTCTTCAAGATTGCCCAGCGTCGTCGAAGAAAGACGTTGAGGAGGAGGAGGGCGAGAATGTGTCCGCTGGCGTCTCCTCTCCCTACTCCGCTTCCTTTTCCCCTGCCAACACTGCCTCTGTTTCTGCCTCTGCCTCTGCCTTCCACAGCCACGCTCAAAAGGCCAAGGAAGACGACGAAATGGACCACATGGCCACAGGAGTGCCCGCAACACCACCAAACACCCCCGAACATCACCATCCACCTCAGAAGGCCATCGTCCGAGATCCCAGCCTCGTCGATCTCGTCGTGACACTCCAGGTCGTGCATACCGGCACCACGGCAGAACCACCACAGACCATTCATCATCGTCGCTTCCACCTAAACGCCTTGGAATGCTCCTCGATCAGCCAGTTTTGTCACCGGGTTGCATCTTCTCTCACGACCACCACCCCTGAAAGAAACGCATCAACAGGCCCAGCAAGAGCGACAGAGGAAGAAGACCCAAAGGTCTGGACTAGGATCGTCGAGTCGACCTTTTACCCACCCCGCAGCGCAACCCGTCACTTCCCGGACCTCGCCAGGGCCACCGTCAAGCTGGAGGAGGACGGGCACGTGGCCGAGTTCACCGTCACACCCACGACCCTCGACGCCGCCACGCCTTTCCCCGGCCAGCAGTACCGCGCGTGGTACGAGAGGAACGTGGTGCGGGGAAGGGGCGACAAGACCGAGTACGAGGTCAAGGTCAAGATGACCGTTCAGAAAGAAGCCTGAAGCGCGGAACAAAAAGAAAGCAAATGCGGATGAGGACACGATTGCCAACAATGAGACCGAGTTGTACGAGGTCGAGGTCGAGGTCAAGATGGCGACCATTCCGAGAGATGTGGAACTGAGATGAATGGTGACGAGAACTTCTCGCACAGGAGCTATTTTCATCAGAAATGAGCTGACTTGACGACATCGATTGAACCAATTCTGCGTCATGGTGAAAAAAAAGAGATTCATTGTGCTATGAAAACGAGGCTATGAGATGGTTGAAACCTTGTACATAATTCCATATGATGTTTAGGTGCACATCTAAGCTGATGCTCACCGAGACGAGACTAGAAAGAAACTCAAGTCTGGCAAAGGTTTGAAGAAAGGTACCCGGTTTTTGTTTCTAGAGGTCCTGACCCTACCAGATAGACATGACATTTTTGTAGTGTAGTGATGCCATGCGGTTCTGTAATACCCAATAATCTCCACGCCCCCGTTACCTAAAGTCCCGCGAAATACACCAGCAAAAACAATAGCTTACAACTCTTCATTTGCGTGCAGATACTAGACCAGACGTGCCGAACGTGACGGCCTTGAAGATATTCGGTTGTCTCACTATGGCCATGCTACCATCTGCACGTTCGTATTGCACCAGTCCCTTGTCTAGGGGGCCCTCATGCTCGTCTTGTTCTGGGCCATCGATTTCCGGATCCGCTTCGATTATATCATCGGCGCTGGGTAGAGGGGTTGCGTACATGCCGGCAGAGACCGGGTCAGGTCGTGCACCACTCTTTATGGTGCTGCTCGAAGCGTAGTCGTACGCACTACGACCACGTTTAGTCGATGTTACCGGAGGTGGGATCGACCATTGGCGGAAGGACTTTCCACTTGCACTGTCCAGCCTCAAGGGAGGAAGTGTCAGCGACTCAACCTTGTTTGAAAGCAATTCCGTCCTTAGGGGAGGCAAGATTCGACTTTCAGTGGGAGTCGTAGGCCGTGACGATCTCGGAGCCAATGAAGGCATATGTGGTGGTGGTGGCGGCGGTTGTTGTGCTGCATTGTCTGTGACAGGTCGCAAGGTATGAAAGTGATTGAAGGAAGGTGGAGGTGGTGGCATCGACGTCATCGGCGCAAGACTTGGTAAAGAAGGGCTTGCCAAAGGCAGACTGACGATGGATGAATGGCGACTGGAGATCGGGCCGCGGCCGTACATGCTATCCACGGAAGCTCGTCGTGCGTCTTCTGCCTCGCATTGACTGCCAAAGCTATTACGGCTAACCGATCGCGAGTGTTCCATGGTGCGAAATGCGATCTGCGGTGTTCCTTGATAGGAACTGCGATTATCCTCAATTTCTGGTTCCGCCTTCTGTGGCCGCTTCCGCTGTCTGATATCGCGCCTGATACGAACCCTACAGCCCTGTTCGGAGACGGTCTTACTCAGTGCGGTGCTGCTGCTCAAGCCAGGGAACTTCTTGGCACTGTAGACCTGGAAAGGAATGGTTTGGACCTCCAATCTGTTGGCCATGCTTTCATGACGAACAGGGGCGCTTGCTCCGTCTTCGCTAACTTGAGACGTCCGAGTGAATGGATTGTCTACATCAGCATCACACTGATGCTTGATGCCCTCGAACAGAGAAAACTTTAGTCGATACCAGCCTTCATGTCGGACTGACAGGTCAGGAAAGATAAAATAGGCAGCCGGGGTAGGCTTTTCCAAGTAGGCGGCGCTGGCAACCGCCACACCGGAGAGAACAGGGATAGAGGGAGGGGTGTGCATCTTGCCAGCAGCAATAGGTCGAGCAACTTCCAAACTGGCATAAAGCATAAATGTAGCATCGTAAACAGACGTGATGTCGGTAGTGCCGTTGAATACTCTCAGTTGGATGACGGGCGGAGGGTCGACAGGCCGGCGATCTTGAGTTGCTGCAATACAGAGTCAGTAGGCATCAAAAAGATTTGGAGACACAAAACTTACATTTGACGCCCGACCCGCAGGCTCTGGCTTTCTCTGGCTGCTGGGCGACCTCAAGGGCATAGGTAATTGTCCTTCCATCCACGGTCTTGCGCGCAAAGTCGCTTCTGGTCTCATTTCTGGGTTGAGCCATGTTGTAAAGAAGGCCGTTGATGGTATATGTCCGGATCGGAAGGTCGTCAAGGTAGATGGTCGAGTGTCCCGGAACAAAGAACTCGGCAATCCGAGAGGGTGGATTTACTTGAGGTAGCAGACGTGGTCGTTCCGCGTGGAGGGCGTGGCCCACCGTGTCCCTAAGGCTGGGGAGTGTTTGGCCCGATCTTGCGGCCCTGAGAAGCTCCCCAGGCGACGGCTCGCCTGACCTGTGCATGTTAGCTAGCTCTTGGAATGATGGAAGGGGCGCCATGGTGGAATGGCGTTTCTGGTAGAGAAAGAAGAAGACTGGGGGGAGAGTGGTTGTATATTATACAAGAAAAATGACGCAACTGGATAATGCATGGGAAAACACAAAAATGGCTTTTGCATGGGAACCAAGAGAGATCTTCATGAGATACTGGCTTCTGGGAGGCAGACCATGAACGCCTCCTGTTCCCCAGTCCTCAAGAGGTTTTCGGAGCAGGCGCCATGGGCTGGGGATGCAAAGTTCCATGCAAAAGAAATGTACTAACCTTGTGTTAAGCCTCCGCCGAGCTGCCTGACTATGATCGACTGATACAAGACAGACTGGGAACCCTCACAACCTCACAACCGCTAAATTATTTCTGCGTCGCCCAGGGCAATTCGTTATTCCAAATAAAGTGTGAAAATATCGTCACTTCGCTCTGTATGGCTCAACCAAAGAATGTCGAACTTTGGCCCGCAGAAAGCCTGACACAACAACTGTCTTCTTCTCTTGCTGCCTTGAGTTGCTAGAGTATCAGACCCTTTCTCGTTCGGCTCTTTCCTGTCAATCCACCTTGGCTAAGGATACTCGTCGACGTTTTGCGGGATTGTTTTTCCTATCGGAGCCACTGACGGTCAATCGTTGCGGAAGCGTCGATGGTGAGGAACCGAGTTAAACAAGACGTTCTCCGGAAAGGCAAACTCGAAGCAAGTGTCAGAGAGCCGAGTTGTTGGGGCACGGCTCTGTCGCAGACTGGTAGAACCGGAGGATACTGTTCAATCTGCAGCTGGAAACCCCCGATCCCCGGAGTCCACCAATGCTACCGAGAAAAGAATTCAGATGTGGCCACTACGGGAAAGAAAGAGAGAGAATGTATGGACTTGAGCCCGATGCAGAGCCGTACGCTCAATGCTGTGGACAGCGATGATTAGTGAAGGTGGTGAAGGAGGATGTTTGCAGGTGAGTGCGGTGTACGGATGGTGTTTGCGAGAGAAAGAGGAGAAGGTGGATGGATGGGGTGATGGAAGCCGCAAATCCACACCCATCCAGACAATGGCCGAAGCATACGGAGCACAATAATACGAGGCCGAGACGAGTACCAACTGGAGAGCTCGCTAGGTCTATGCTCTGCAACCATGGATAGGCTCACCACCCACTGCGCACCTGGGCTTGTACTCCCCCAACCCACCTACGGGCCACGCTTCTGAGTTTTAGCTGGGGGCCTCTTAAAGCTGCGGTGCCACGATGGCTCCAGCAGCGGATGGACACTAGCACTGGCCCTTAGCCTAGAGGCGACAAGGCGTAATACGGGATGGGCGGTTCAGCACGAATTTGACAGAAGGCGGCGCTGCTGTGGTCGGGTACACTAAAAGCCCCTCAATCCCTTTGGAGACCTCGTACTGTGCCCTACTCGGTGCAGAACCGCGATAATCTTGCCCTCCACCCAGGGGCTCATCACGCCTTGCTATTCCCGGTTTAGGCGCTGCTCGGGTACGTTAGGGCTTGTATTTTACGAGGCACTGGCGCAGGCTCAAAACGTCCTCTACAGTAACGCGGAAATTTCTGCCGCCCATCCTTCACACTCAGTGGACATGGTCGCCCACAACTCTGCAACGCCATTCCCGCCCATGGCCCCGGGCACCAGTCCGTTTGAGGCCACTAATGCAAGCCTACTGTCGCTTTCATCCTGCTGGTTCCAAAGCTAGTCCGCCTGGTCGCTTCTCATTTCTCTACGAGCGCTCCGTACAGACGAGCATGGACCCCAGAGCACGCACGGTGACCCTCTACCGGTTATCGGGCGTTGGACTGTAATGACAAGAAAACTTCAAACATCATCAGGCCACAGTAGAGCTTCACGGAGAGAACCACCAGCAAACTCGAGCATATCCTTCGCGTCAACGAGAACTCAATTTCCGTCAGGGAAACAGTCGAGAGGAGGTCGGATGGGACTTATTGCCACGGCCAGGAAGGCTAAGCATGCAGACGCAGAAGGAGTACTCCGTATGTTGACATGGTTCAAAAGACAGGTTCAAATTATTCCTCGCTTCGTTACACACGTACCACTCTGACTGCCCATCGCTTGGAATTCAACCTTGATCTGTCACAGCCTCTGCACCGCTTCTGCACCGCTACCGCAATCCTGCACGGAGCCGTATGTCTTTGCCACAAAACATTTCTCAGGCCTAGAAAAGCGGTCGAGAATGATACCTAGCGTCGATCCGTACCCAGATACGCCAGAATAGAACGAGACCGCTTTGTAGGTGAAGAGCGGTTTATGACGGCACATCTTTCAACGTGGTTGACGGTTCATCAAACAGACCCAGAGACATGGCAGTGGGAGGACATCAAAGCTCAGGCTAGTAGGTGCGCAGAAGGAAATGAGTGGTCCCAAAAGTCCCAAAGAAGGCCCTAAGATCGATAGGCGAAGGCCCGGGCGCGGTGCCGCAAGGGCCAGAGCGTGCCAGGTTTGAAAGCCCATGTCGAATCCGTTCTGAAAACCTCGGACATGACTCGCGTAGTGGGCAAAGATCGTCGCGTTCTAGACGGGGATGCGCGGTAACGACCACGGGGGTCTCTGTTAGCCTCGCGCCCAAAGACCCAAGGGCGGTCTCGGTCGATGCACACCTTACCCAGAGTCAAGGATTATCCCTGTTTGATGGCTGGCGCCGGAGGGGCTACCAAAGGATGAACAGCGCGCCGCCGGAAAATCTGGCGCTCATCACTCGATGATGATGGGATTCCAATAATGCCCGAGTCTCCGCTCATGATTGTACGTACTCCCTGGATCATGCCGATACCTGTCTTCGTCCTGCATGAAGACGTCGAGCCATGATATGAAACTATCGAGCCATGAAAGTGGTTGTTGTATCATTGTTTACATGTTGTTGCTGTTAGTCTCAGTCCATCGATGTACCACAACCTTCAGTCGATGCTTTCTGAAATCCCGAAAGGAATCAGTCACTGCATTTGACATGTTATCCCAACCTCGCTTACATGTTTGGTTGCATGAAAGGTTCCACCACAGCATCTCCTTTTGAATGTCCTTGGATGAATTGGCAAGCTCTGATTTGAACGACTTTGCTATGAGACTGGCTTGCACAACGCTGGTTATGCTGGCCACTTTTTGCATTGCCAACCTCGATGACTGGCTTTCAGGGCGCCGAAACTCGCCCCAGTTCTTGATTGCTTCCTCCTCTGCTTTATTCGATGGCTGTGACGACACTTCAACTCAAGGATACCAAAGTACCTGTGCTGAATGCGACCATCCAATTGACTCCCGCTATCATGACATTTGCCGGTGATCGTGCTACGAGAATCAACCCATCGTCACACCTGAAATGCGCCTACTGAATACTTCTTGGTAATGTCGAGATCAGGATTCCAGCAACAGTAGTCCGTATGACCTAGTTTGTCCTCTATGCTGTCGACAAAGTTGGCAATGGCTTGGGCTCTCCACCCGCCCTAATTCTCGCCTACACAACTCTTGCCCATGGTCGCACAAGGCCTTGAAAGCAGAATCTGGTTCGTTCGTTGCCGACTCGATCGACTGGTTCAGAACTTTTCCAGCTATCTTGATGGTGTGCAAGGTGTTTGGACGAATCAATCACAACGAACACCCTTCTGGAACAGCCACAGAAGCGCTGGAATGAAGCTGTGTTCCATTTTGATTCCAGCCTTGGGTTGGGCGAACTGAAGTGATTGTTCGAGAAGCCTCGACTACCTTGTTGGCGATTTTGATCACGGTCTTGAAAATGAGGCCGCCATTTGTCCACAGGGCCGTAACATTGGTTGAGAACGTATTGTCAGCCACAATCGCCATCCTTCCCGATTCGTTCCTGTATGTCGACTTTTTTGTAACTACGACTTGATGAACGAGAATGAGGTTTGATTTAGGATTATGATAGCGACGAAGTCATCTGCCTAAGGCTATCATCAATTACCCAGCCTAAGAACAACGTAAATGGATACGTGGTAGGGTTGTGCATCGACAGTGTGCATCAATATGTCCACGATTGCCCCCTCCCCCTCGCCGTTCCCCCAAACCCTCATCAGGTGTACCACTGCTGGCCCTCTCGGGTCGGAATATCACAAACTGAATCCATACAACCCAGAGATGGCAGCACAAGATGATTGGAAATTTGAGGTAAAGTTCCAGCATGTCATCCGTCAATTTGACGTCTGGATGCCTGCCTTCCCGAACACGGCTGCAACATCATCTCCCATCTTGGATCGATACACCACCTATAACAAACCATCCCGTGGGGGGTTGATGGAATTCCGTCCCTGTGTTACGGGACTTTGATGCCTGCAGCAGGGCTCTACAATCTCCAGAAAAAAAATCAACCCCCTTAATGCAGACGACAAATTTCGCATCTTTTTTTTCCTCCAAGCTTGTCATCCGAGCGTCGCCCTAGACCTGACCAGTGAAGCCCCAGTCTTTGAATTCTGGAATGTATCACGGCAAAGATGTCAGTTGTTTTTCCGGTGTCGCACACTCACATACTCCGTAAATGCCACTCAAACTGCTGGAGGCTCCCCTCCCCAGCCTGACCGGAAATTGTCTCCGATGGCAGGTAGGGTTTTCGGGTCTGGTACGCAGTACCTTTGCGGACAAGTATTTCCGACAAATGTCTACCAGTCAAGCCCAGGCTGACACGTTGTCGAAACGTAACCCCTGAACGAGGTTGACACTTCCATAGGGGGTCGTTGAGCTGTCTGCGCCAATCGTCCTCCTTGATCCGAGAAAACACTCCTAGGGCTTTCCTTACTTCCGCACTCGTTCTCTCGAGACCGACTCACAAAAGCTCTCCTCCAGTCGGTTCTTCCCACAGCGACGGGAGGCTAGAGTGGGACCACTTCTCTCTGTCATGTCGGCCGGATCGAAGAGTTCGATCGAGACGAAGGACTGGGGAGGAAGAAGTTAATGACGAAGAAGGCGATGATGGGGAATATAAGTATAATAAGGAATGAATGGGAGTGAAGATGAAGAGGATACCCTGACCTGATGACTGAAACCGACGTGAGTTTTTGTTTTGGCTTTTATCCAGGCTCCCCTAAAATTCAAAGACCAAAAAAAAGGTAATTTACAGGTAAGAATAGAAATCCATGGCAGACTACCTAAAGATCTCGCCATATCTTGTCTGCCTAAGGGAAAAATTCGATATATGAGGGAGTCGTTTGACTTATCTAGGTATCTATCCACTCGCCAACCCCTCTTCGATGGCCTTGATCTGCAATGCCACGAAACGAGAATAAATCCGACACAGGGCCAAACTTCCACCCATGAACCAAAGACGAGGATGTCCACTAGGTCGCCACATCTGTGTATCCGTCACGGTGTTGGGTCAGTCATCAGTCAGTTCTCTCGGAAGAAGAAGCAAGTTTACGTGGTAGGAAATGGGAACAAAGGTGATGTGATTGTGAGGTTTCGAAAAGAAACAAAAAACTTACCGCGTTGACCTCTCCCTCCTCATCCAGGTCCCAAACATCCTTTGCACGATCGGCAATCTTGTCACCAAGCACTTTTCTGGCCGTTGTACGCATGTTGTCGTAACCAGTGGCGAGCACGACAATGTCGGCCGGTAATTTTCTTTTGCCGTCGCCCAGGATGAGGTTTTCCTTGTCAAACCCTTGAATCCCCTCGGGTGACTGGACGACTTTGATCTTGCCGTCGATGATGAGCCGGCTGGCCCCGACGTCGATATAGTAGCCACCTCCACGGGTGATGTACTTGCGATAGATTCCGGATCCGTCGTGGCCAAAGTCGAGCTTGAAGCCGGCCCTTTCGAGGCCCTCGATGTTTTCCTTTTCGGCCGCCTTGATCCTCTCGGTGAGACCGACATTCAAAGCGAATTGCACCGCGATCGGCAGACTCTGGCCGTAGACGTCGGCGTCCTCGATCGGCGGGCCGGTCTCGTCGTACAGGCCCTCGTGGAGCATGAACAGACCCTTGGAGGCTTGGATGACGTACGTCCCGCGACGCTGGAGCATGGTCACCTCGGCCGCTCCAGCCTCGTAATAGTTTTGGGCGATATCGTGG